GTGTGTGTGTGTATATATATATATATATATATATATATATATATATATATGTGTGTGTGTGTGTGTGTGTATATATATATATATATATACACATATATATATGTGTGTGTGTGTGTGTGTTAAGAAGTGAAATTTCAGGAATCTGAAAAAGAGAGGTGTGTTTAAAACATAGTATAGAACCTTTATTAATTAGCAAAGCTTTTCATGGCCAACTCAGTTAAAAGCATGTTGGATCTAATGATGGTTTCTCCTGCAAAGGGGGACAGTTTGAAATTTTGCTGGATGACACATTTTTTCTTTGATATGATTGATTTCTCAGATATTCAGGACAGCAATACTGTGTCTACTCAAATATTGGTATCCACCAAAAACAACATTTAAAGTGATTTTTATATATATAAGAAACGAATAAGGAATGAGTATAAAGAGAGAAAAAAAACAATAAAAAGGACAAAGAACCATATTGTCTGTTGGATTTGAAATTAGCCCATTCCAAGTATATTTCTGCCATCCACTCTATTAGCTTGTATACCACACTGTGCTGCTTTTTTTTTTTTGATATGATGCACAAGCCTGGTCTTAGTTATATTACTAATGATTATATTTCACTTTTTTTTTTCAGATAAAAACAGTGAACTTAAATTTTTGAAGATGGTAGGTGGCAGGGAAGCAAGAAATTGGAAAGTAGTTCCACAGGTGAGAAGTGCAAGAAAAGAAACTCTTAGAATAAAACTGATGATTACACCTAGCTAGTTCAGTTCAACAATAAAATGGTGAGACCCTGTTGCCAATCTAGTAGCATGCTTAAATTTATGCAGTCGAAGCACCAAGGAGGAAAGCTCATCAGAACAATTGCCATGAAATTATTTGTAGATAAGACAGAGAGAAGCCATGTCATGCCAGTGAGAAAGTGACTGAAGTCGAGATGCCAGGACAGGATCAATTACATTACAAACTCTTCTTTGAAATTTGTCAAGAATCTCTAGAAGCACCAAACCAAATATGGCAGCAATATTCAATGTACAGATGAATGGTAGATTTAAATGTGCAAGATGGATTCTAAGTAGAAAAATTGTCTGGCACAACACAGTAAACCAACTTTCCTAGCAGTAAACCTAGCAATTGATTCAATATAATTACTCCATTTCATGTCAGTGGAAAACATTTGGTATTTAGGCATTAAAATTTACAAACTATTCCTTGCCCTAGTTAAGTACTGACTGGAGGCCCTATTCAAGAGATGCTGGTTTTACCTTGTCAAACATGCTGGACTTGCTAAAGAGTAAATAGTTTTGTCATCATCATAAATTCCTAGTTGGGAACTGATGACATTGGGAAGGTCCTTAATGAAGATAAGAAACAATGTAGGTCCAAGGATAGGGACCTGGAAGATCCCTGCATTAATGTGAAATGAACTAGATGTACGTCTGTTCAACATGAACCTCATTACACAATTTGTTAGAAAAAATTGGATTAAATCAAATATTCATCAAGAGACACCATAACCCTTGAGCTTGTGAAGAAGGCCAGCATGCCAAACCCTGTTAAATACCTTCAAGATACCTAGAGCCACAGCTTGAGCTTCACCATTATTACCTAAAGCTTGAGACAAATTTAGTGATAGTCCTGGAGAAACAAAAGCCATATTGTTCATCCAAAAGGAGGCTGTGTGAAGTGAGATGCTTAACCAATTTTGCACTTAGCAGAACCTCTAGTACTTTGCCAAAAAGAGGTAAGACACTAGTAGGGCAATAATTTGAGGAGTCAGAAAGTTTCCCAGAGTTCTCAAAAACAAAAGCTACAGTGGTAGACTCCCAAGCTAGAAAGCAAGAAGCAGTGAGACATTTATTGCAAAGTTTGGCGAGAACAAGAGCCAGTATATGAGCAAATTTCTTTAGGACAATGGCAGGGATACCATTGAATCTACAAGCATTGTGGGGATCTAGTTTAGAAATGAATGGAGTTATGCACATATCACTCAGTAGAGAGACTGTTCTAGGGGGAAATCAGGCAAAGATATGCCTGATGCATCAGGAGTGGAGTTGGGAGAGAATTTCTGAGTAAAGCATTCTGCTTTATCAGCAGTAGATGGCAATAATTCAAATTGACTGAAGAAAGAAGGGACTGAGGACTTGCTCTTGTTCAGTACACCCTTAGAGCCACCAGTAATCTCTAGAACCAAATTTGTGAGAGCCTATACTATGTCTCATTCTATCAGTGAATAGTGATTGTCTCTGTGGACACACTTCCACTCACTAATGGTGGGTAATATATATCAGTGCTGTGACAGTTTCAAGGTCCATCTTTTTGACCTCTCTCTTTACTAAGCCACTTCATGTCATTCATTTTCTCTCAAAGAATTTAGCTACTCTCAAATATAAGAGATTAATAAAGCTTTTGCTCCTCAAACTTGTGAGTGAACATTGAAGGAAGACAACTGTAGATATTTTATGCAGCAAAGTCCTTGAAAGTATTATTAGTATTCCTTCCTCAAAAATCTCTGACTACTTCAATTTCAACACAAACTAACCTTTCCTTTTATCACTCTTCACTGATGTGCAAATCAATGCACACAACAAATATATTAGTCTTCTTGCTAGAATACTCAAGAGACAACATTTGACAATCTAATAAAGCACTATAAATGTTAATGTAGCAATTCACCTTCCTTTCAGGCAGTCATGAAATAATGATTCATGTAATCACACAAGAGACTTTTCACTAGTTATATTTTCATCCGTTAAGCTGTAGATGCACATCAAAATGTGCAGCAAAATTTGTGCTACACAAATTTATTCCCAGAATATGAACAATACTCAAGAGATGTATTATTACTTATAAAATGGCAAAGTCACAGATTGTTTTATAAATGATTTACAGTAAATAAGACAATACTCTGCAGAACTCCTGTCAGATTATCAGTCAGTTCAGAGTCATGTGATACATGATTGGGTGATCAGGTCTCTTGATGCATGAATGACTAGGCAGAAAATGTTCCCATGGTAAGTTACTGTTACTTTCTGCAGTAGACCAGATGTCACCCAAGACTATAGGACCCAGTCTGTCCTGCTATTCAACCCATAGCTTGCGGGAGAAAGATGATTCATACCTTTCCAAAGAGTATTTGCACATCAGTGAATGTAAAGAACTTGACTAGAAGATCATGGCTCATTCAATAATGCATACCACAAAAAGAAACAGTCTGTATACATGTCATTAAACTATTCCTTTAGAGTTCTTTAAAAATGAATTAAAAAAAAATAAAATAAAATAGAAAAATTAAAAACTTGAATAAGTATTATTAGATTAGGTATTTGCCAGTCTTGGGAGAGTATGGAGTTGTACTCTAGATCATACTTCTGGCACAGCGTCTAGACTGTTACTTTCTGTCTCTCAAGAGCACAGTGCCCGAGTATGTAGACACAAGGGACAGTCTGTTATCCATGTAATCATTCCTCCTTTTCCAGGTCATTAAAATGGTTCAATGTAAAAGCAGGTGCTGGTACACATGATGGTTCCAGCACCATCATAAAAGTTTCCAGGACATTGTTAAATACAACTATGACCTCAATTTAGGGACTGATCCTAATTTATTTCCATAGAGTTGACTAAACAGTCTTTTCCTCATGATGAGATGCCTTCCTGTGTTGCAAACCCTGTATTCTCAATGTCAATAAAAATACATATAAATATTAACCTCGTTGAGGAAAGGAAGAGAGAGAAGGATAACAACAGCATTCTGGTTTATTCCAGGGGGAGGGACAGTGTATAGTAGAAAACATGAATACTTTGTGTTTTAATTACTTAAACTTATTTTGAATATATCCATAAAAATGATAATTGTTCATTATTATTCAAAAGAAAATCAAAATTTTGGAATAAATCCATTAAATTTTCTTTTTTATGACATAAGTTTTATTATATATATATATATATATATATATATATATATAAAAAACAACTGAATTTAATTTTATTAACATTAGGATTTAAAAATTATACACAGACTGCCACAACAAAGTGAATACAAAAAAAAAAAGCCAGTCACACAGATGCTTTCAGCTTTCCAGTTAATATAAAAGTTATGTTTACACTTGGCTGTATTCTCTGAAGCGTGTGCAAAAACATTCAGTCTAAAAAAATTGTCCAACACTTTCTTGCTAACAAAATGGCACCGATTGATTTGCTCAATGTAAAGTTCCCACAAATCATTAAGTTATAAAAAAAATGCAGTACAATAAAATATAGTTGGTCTGGATTACATTATTTTTTCTTTTCATCCCAAGTTATGGCTCACTAGTTAGAAATTTAGAAAAGAGATTGAAATACAAACAATTCGTATTATTAGATAAGCAAGGTTGATTGAATTTATAAAAAGTTTAAAAGCTATCAACAATTTTCTTCTAAAATCTAATATTATTGTGCTATAAACATCAGCTTTAAATATTTGCTTGAGTAGCAGATTGATTACCAAAAAGTAAAAAATTTCAAACAAAATACTGTCTTAGTTTGTTGCCATCAATTAATAATGAAGGGACATCTCCTTCGAAATATATGAGTTGATGATCAAATGTAGGTCAGATATGGATAGAAATCTGGCAAGAAGATAAAATAAAGAACAAGTAGGAAACATATCTCAATCTAACATGTTACACCTTTATTAAGGCTTTGTCAGAGATTGATAATAGAAATGAAAAAGAGAGTATAAGCTGTAGAAAATGAATGAATCAATCATGACTCATTCATTTTCTACAGCTTATCAACTCTTGCAGGTTATTTAAAGCCAGAAAATATTTTTAGATTGTAAGAATCTTTTATTTTTGAAGATAATGATTTACTGATACAAGTCTTACTATTTAACCCATAACTTGGGAGAGAAGAAGTGGATTCATGTGTTTTCCAAGGGTAGTTTTGCATAAGTGAATATAACAAACCCAACTGGAATTGGAACTTGGCTCTCCAATTAACAATTCTGAGCCATTATCCATTACATCACCTAC